TGTCATAGACTTTTATGGGTCTTCCCTTCCTATATTTAAACTTCTTTGAAACTTTCCAACCATATCTTTCTAACTCTGCTTTTATTCTAGCAGATTTTCTATCCATTCTATATGGGGGCATTTTTATAAAAATAAAAAATGTTTTTTTCTTTACTTTACGTAACCGCCTGCTGCCATAAGTCTTTGACGCCAACCCATACCAGCTAATGAAGGTTGACTTGGTTTAGTTTGGAAACTAAACTTTGGTTTTGGTTTATCTTCAGTTTTTGGTTTCTCTTCTTCTATCGGTTTTTCGTCACTTTTCGGTTCCTCTGACTTTACCTCACTGCAGGAACAGTTGTGTCGTCAACATCTTCATAAATATCATATGCCATTTGTTTTTGTTTTCCTTTCAACTTTTTGTGTTTGTTGTAAAGTTTAGAATATTTCGACTCTAAGTCAATGAGATGTTCTATAATGAACTGTTGGTCAGTGAAGTAAACTTTTCCATCTGTTGTCTCGAAAGCTCCTTCAGACTTCAATATTTTATTTGTGAGAGTCTGTTTCTTTTTTGAGATACTAGCCGTTCCATTTCTATGAAAAGTGACTTTGTAGTTAGGGTTTGTATTTCCAGACCTGGCACTTTCTATTATTGAATTTTTCTCTTCATCTGTAAGTTCTTTGACAGGTTTTGACAATGGTTCTGAACTTTTTGTTTGTGGTGTCAAATCTACCGTTTCAACTTCTTCGGTCATTTCATCTCAGTAAAAAATTTTAGTTTGGTTTGTTTTCAACTGGTTGTTTAGGTTTTTTAAGTCGGTCTAAAACTTCCTGAGGTATAGGAAGAACTTGACAAACACGTTTGTGTAACTGCTGGAAGCGACAAATCCATCTTGAACCCATTTGTCTCAATGCTGTATTGTTCATTTCATCTCAGTAAAAAATTTTACATTCCCCACGTTTGAGGCGGTTGAGGTTGGTTGTTGTTTACCCATGTTGTGCATGGTTATATCCTCTGTTAAAGAATCTTTCACCTTGGTCCATATAGTGCCTGCTTGGTTATAGTAGTCATTTGCTTTGTTATAGTAGTTTCCTGCTTGTCTTCCTACATTGTCCATCCATCCTTGAACTTTTCCTCTTGTTTCAGGATTTGGAATAAGATTTGCTGCATCTCGTGCTACATCCCAACCTTTCTGTACAGTTTGTATAATAGGTTGTGCTTTCTCTTTAAGTATACCTAATGTACTCAAAATCTTCCTTCCAACTCCAAATACACCTCTGGCTATTGTTCCCACTGCGGGCAAAAATCTGGATGCAACTCCTGCTAATGCGCCAAATAAACCCATTTCTTATGGGTTAAAAAATGACGAATCCAAACAAGGACCCCTATGTTTCTAAAGCGACAAAGAAAGCACTCATGATAAAAATCTTTAGTTCAACACCAAATGCTTGGTTTATGGATATCTTGGAAAACATTCCGAGAGTTAGAGAAGATGGACCACCATACTGGCTAATATTTGTCGGTCAAAACACAAGATACTGTGAAGCCATACCATTATGTCCAAAAATATTTTAGATGTGAAAACTGCTTTGACAATATTCGTTGACAAATACCATCCAACAAAACTGACATCTGACTGTGAAAGTTCTTTCAAATCAGACGATATTAAAAACTATCTGCGTTCAAAAAATGTAAACCAATATTTCATTGTCGACCAAAACCATTCTGCTCTTGGTGTCATTGACAGTTGTATAAAAATCTTAAGAGACTTAAACCAACCACAAGGTGGTGAGGTAGATGAAATGTCATATGACGACAAATATAGACACTTCTCCATGGCAAAGATGAGACAAGTTTTAAATATTTACAATAGCCGTAAACAAAAAGGTTTGGGAAACCACTCCCCCGAAGAAATGAAAAACAACCCCGACTTAGAGAAAGACTATATATTTAATAGTTTAGTCAAAAGAGACAAACAAGAAAGAATGCCAGGCTTCAAACTTAAGAAAGGTGACAAAGTAAAAATAGAAATACCTAAACGCGACCCATATGAAAATACTATTGACTATGACAACAATGGGAACTCGACAGGTACTCACATTCGTGTTCGTAAAAATAGAAGAAAGTATACAAGAGAATATTATGAAGTTTTAGGCAAACATGGCAAAATGTACAGACTGCAAGCAGAAGATAAAACTACTATTGTCAGACCTCGTTTCAAACTTGTCAAAGTTCAAGGTGGTATACTTTCAAAGACAGTTCCTAACAAATATAAGACAACTCCTGACGAATATGCTAAAGAAGTTGAAAATGACGACTAAGCATTTCTATACCATGCGTAAACTGTCATGTAAGGTGGCATGTAGTCTTTACTTTGTCCCGTTGTTTGCGTATACCCTGAAACGCGATGTGTATGGTTTCCTCCTCCTCAGTGTTACTCCAGTAACAATTTATAGCAAACTTAACGTCCTCTTTAACATCATATCCTTTACCTTTTGTCATTCCTGACCAATCCCAAAATCTATGCTTATGCAACCTGCTTCAGATGTACTTAAACTTACGTAGTGACTGTGCGCAGGTAAATTTGCACCTGAAATCGTTTTACTTCCACCTGTTTCCTTTGAAGAGTTTGCACAATACAAAAACCTGTCGACTATTTGAGTCCAAGTTCCGAACCAAGTACTACTTCTGGTCTGGTAGAGTTCATTGACGTGTAAATAGAACCTATAGGATATAGTGTTTGAAGTATTTCTGTCTTTAACGTTTGAAGCTCTGTTTTGTCAGCTTTTTTATCATATAAATCTTGAGCAGTGAATTTAACTTTGTTTTCATCCTCCATGACATAGACATTTCTACATCTAATGTATCTCATCGTTGTTATGTCTTCTTCCGATGTTAAACCTTGTGGAAAGTTAGGAGGTTTCCAATCTAATACATCCCCACCAGCTCCTTCAACCGTTCCTTCAATATTTTCTATACCAACAGTTGCGAAGAAATCGTGTGTATGTCCAACGTCACTTTTCTTGTTTAAGGTTTCTTGTAAGTTTGTAATATCAGATATGGTATGTGTATGAGTCTTTTTAGAATATTCTTTGTCAGCTCTTGTCACTTCACTTGACATTTTATTGTCAACATATGTTTTATCTGCTTTGTCATCTAACATTGCTGGTAGTTCATCTACGTCATAGATGTTATGTGTATGATGTTTTTGTGGGTATGTTCTATCTGTCCATGCGAGAATATAGTCTCTTGTTGCATCTACATATTCTTTGTCAGCTTTGTTGTCAATATCTGCTTTCAAAAGAAGTTCATTTATAGGTTTCTCGTTTAAAGTTCCTTTTGTTGGATTTATACAGACAGTATGGTTCTTATTGTCTTGAAACAGAAACTCATCTGTCATTGGGTTTAATGTCAGTTTTAAGTTTCCTTCTTTCAATGACTCAGATATCTTAGAATAGTTTGAAAAGTTTGTTGTGTTCTTATTTAGAGCTTGCATAATGAGTTGTCGGTTGTGTTGTATTTCTCTCATAGACGCTGTTTCATTTGACATTTTTATTCTAGATAAAATATGCTTCCAATAGAAAAAGAAAATTCAAGAGTTGCTACAACTAAACCATTAGATGAACTTTTTACTAATGTCGGTCAAAAGTTTGAGACAGAGACCGTAAAGCATGAAGGCTATCGTTTTGACTACCCGTTAAGATGGTAAGAGACCCATCTGTCACAAAAGCTATTGGCTTTCGTAGAATGAAGTTTGTGTCTGTAGAAGATAAAAGTTTTCCATTTATTGTAAGGTTTCATATAGATTATATATCTGAAGGGAAACGAAAAATGTGGGAAGAAATTGAGCTAATACAAGTTGACCTTTCATCTTCTCTACAGACTGCGTTAAAAAATATAGAAGATAAAATAAATTCATGTTATGCAAAATATGCTGATGAATATGCAAATACCGAGAGCACACTTTATGTGAGAATTGTATATGACAAACAAAATTCACAAGTGTCATTTCAAATCTACGAAGACAATCCAAAGAAAGACGAACAAATATATACAGAATTCACTGCAATGTCATGGTATTATTTGCAAAGAATGTTAAATCAGAAAGTCGAACTTCCTTTAGCAAATATTTACAGTCGATATGCAAGAGATGAACCATATTTATTTAAAGATGTTTTCGACCAGCTGCTATTATTGTTCATGCTTCATTTTCTGGCGCTCAAAACTCTTTCTTATGCTTGGCAAATGACTTTTACGAAAAACCTACAAAGCTATATGAACCACCAAGTGGAAGTATTTCAGACTTTCAAGTATGGTTTACTACAGATGGAAGAAAGAGAATAATTCCATTATACCATGCGTTTTACTTAGAACTTAGTTTCATATACAACTACTATCGAACGGTAAAAATATAATTTTTTAATACGGTTGAGGTGTTGGATTTGGTTGCCAACTAGACTGTGGTGCAGGTTCAGGCTGTTGTATAACAGGAGCTTGTTCTTCTGGTTCAGGGTCTTTAGGTATAATACCAACAAACTGACCTACTCTTTTACCAATATTTTTGACTCCGTTCCAAATTCCTCTTCCTACGGTTTTTATTCCATTCCATATACCTCTTCCAACATTTCGAAAGAAGTTTCCAATACTACTGAAGAAACCCATTTTACTATATGTAAAAATCTAATGTCCGCCTAGTCTCTTACGTTTCCTGTTGAGTTCCATAGCATTCTTTAACTGGAGCTCATACATTCTGTTTCTCCTCTGGTAGAAAACATATTCTGGGTCAACTCCTGTGTTCGCGTCATCTGCATAAAGTTGTTTATATCCCACTTCAGGGTTTGTATAAAACTCTTTCCATCTCATATTTGCATACCATGGTGGCAAACCTAACGCAGCGTCATTTGACATGGCAGTTTGCATTTGTACATCTGTTGGCACTTGACCATAGTTTGCCATTGCAGTTTGTATTCTAACTTCATTTGGAATATTCTCTGGGTTTGGTTGTCCAGGTTGCTGTGCATTCGCTAAGTTCTGTGCGTCCATTTAATATTAGATAAAAATATCTCTTACGAGTACATTACTGAACATTTGCAGGCATTGGTTCATCTTCATATTCTCTATATCTTTCTGCCACGTCAAATAAGTAAATGACACAATGGAAAAAACCTAAAACAAGTAGTCCTATTTCAAACACATTTACTTACTAGTAAAATTTCTTTGTTATGACACTTTCTCCAGTTTATAGGACCTCTCTCATATTCTATCTTATCGTATCTAAACTCATAGTCATGTATGTCCTCTAACCATCTCATGACACTTTCCAAACCACTTTTATCGGATGTAAAGTAAAAGCATGGATGGTTATGTAAAACGTCTAAAGTTTCTAAAGAGTCTCTCAAAGTCCAGTCTACTTGGTATTGAAAATCCCATGTGTTATAGAACGGCGGGTCTACTATAAAGAAAACATTTTCCTTGTCTTTATATTTTTCATACAACTCTGTCCAATGACATCTCACAAACTCTATACCCTCAATATATTTTTCTATGTCCTCTTTGAAAACATTTGTATAGTTGAGATATAAAACTTTTGACATAAGTGTTTCAATGTCATGAACTCTTATAGCACCACTATATAATAGTCTAGCAGATATACTATCCCAGTCTATATATTCTGCTTTTTTCAAAACTCTCTCACAATATTTTTTTATCTAATGGTATACGTTCCATCTTACCTATAGGTATCTTTTCTTTTAACTCTTTCAATATTTTGTTAGTCTGGAATATGTTTGAGACGGTTCATATAGTTTGTCGAAGTCATTGCATATAATCTTTGAGTCAGGAAATACAGTATGGCACAAATGGGATATATAGAAACTTCCACCGAACAAATCTACAAATGTTAGACCATTCGGTAGTTTCTTAAGTTCTCTCAATAGAATATCTTTACATCTACTCTTATTTCCAAAGAAGGGTAACGGTGGTTTTGTAAAATTCATTTATATATAATAATAAAATGTTTTTTCCTGAAAAGTGACAGAAAAGTGACAAAACATGTACGAAGAAGTCTTGAAAATTCAAGAGGGTAGAAAAGAGGTTAGAAAAGAGGTTATATCTAACCTTCTACCCTAAACATTATTTTTGTCTGATTTTACGAAGAAGTCTTGACAAAACATGAAAACATATATAATTTGTGAAAAGCTCCTGGAAGACCCGTATATAAGAACTTCATTTATACTAAAATCTTCAGGGCTAGAAGGGCGCAGCCCCTGGAAGCCCCAATACTTTTTTTTTTTTTTTTTTTTTTTTTTTTTCAACAATTCCTTCGCAAACGGGGAAACTTTGTCCGAATAGTTTAACATTCGGA